AAGAAGGAAATATCCAGGCAGAACGTATTTTGGGGACCTGTATGATGTAAATAATGTGTACAGGGTTCCTTGCTCAGGGATGATTGTAGGAGGCCCCCGGCTCCAGCAATCTAACACCAAAGTGTCTGGGGTATTTGAGTGACACAGCTCCACCACTCTAAAGGCTGACATGACTGGTTAAAGAAACTCATCCTAACACCGTCTAACTCTGGTTTTGTGTTTTTTAGTGGCAGTCCGAGCTGACTGTCCCTTTTCCCGGAAACTGGGATTTTCTGTTGTTCACTTTGTTCTGTTGTTTATTGTTAATAAATTTGGGCATTTGTCACTGCATTTTTGGATCCTGGCCTTTGTTCGAATCCTAACAGATATATAAGAAATCAAAAAAGGGTTTCAAAAAATTTAAGACAATAATTCAATAAGACATAATTTTTTTTCCGTCTGTTTGGTGTTTGACCTCATTATCTATGAAAACCGTCATATACTAGAAAAACGAAATAAATCACAAGCTTTTAGACCTGGACCTCCCCAGCACTCAGTCTCAAAGACTCGACAGTCCTCAAGACCTGCCATGTTGTCTGTTATTTTCTGCGTCTCCAGTGTGTTGGAACTGGACATATTTGCCCATCCTGTGTGACATAGCATTCAACACTTTGGACAGCACACCAGAAAAAAATTACTCTTGGAGATGCACTTACTGCAATGGTGGGCTGGAATGATCCAGACACAAGAAAATGCAGTGTTACAAGGAGTTTTTAAACAGGAGGTACAGCATGTATTATTTTTGTGACTGACTCCAAATCAGCCCTTAGTCATCCAGCAGCTCAAGAATGGCAGCTTGTCACTATTACTCTGCTATATTTATTTCTGACAAATATGTTGACATGCACACAGAAGACTCTCTCTCCGTCGCCTATCATTGGACTTTTGTTACGCACAAAATGACCGCAGCCATTTGTGCGTACGTTGTCCCAGTTTGCACATGCCTTTCCAACGAGCAAAATACAGACACAAAACAGCTACCACAATCGATTTGCGGGTTTGATAAATCACATTGCGGGTGCTAAATGATTATGCTCCTCACTGTATTTTGCATGATCTGATAATGTACATACATTCTGCATATTCATGAAGACAAATGCACTTAACCAATTGCCCGTGCTGTTTTGCTCATTTGACAGACGTGATCCTCGGTGCACCTGTTTAGTAGATCAGCTTTGCACACGCTATCAAGTTTGCTCATGTTTTTGTTCAAGCAAACCTTTAGAAGATAAGGCCCTTAGAAAGCTTTATGTAACACGCTTTAGTGGGACAGCCTTTCCTGATTTTATTTCGTCTGAAACATTTTTTTTTTTTTTAACAGATATCCTAATTTGAAGTGGCCCCTGTACTTATAAACTAAGCTGGTTGGTCTCTGACAAGTGTGAAATTTAACATTTTTATCTTTGCAGTCCTTGTAACGTGGAGTTTGAAATGTGATCTGTAAATGAAGATTCCTATAATTATCATTTATTTACAAAAATAAACACACTTCAACTCATAGTTAACTTAACTTATAGCTATAGTTAACTTATAGCTGACAGCTGGTCCAAAGTTTGGGACAGATGTGGTTCACTACATCGACACCAGATCATTGTGTGTTCTGGCAATCGATGCCCTCTCACAGTGGTCATTTTTCCAAAAAGACCCTGAATCCTGAAACTATTCTTTATACTCAAAGACACCAATATACATCATCAATATCTGAGAATCTGCTGAGCTGCATTTTACAGTTGATTGAGTTTTTCTTCTTTTTGGAGTTATTTCATAAACTTATCCTATGGATGTGAGATTGAACAGCAGAGTAGATTAAAACAGAAATGTGAATAAAAAAAAAACAAAACAGAAAAGGACAAAGATTACAGGTGAGCATCACACTGGATTACAGGAGGAGCCAGATTAAAACCCTTACTGTCCTCTGATTGGTGGGCTACATGTGTGTATGTTGTGTGTGAGTTGTGGCGGTGCGTGAGTTGTCATGACAGGGTTTGCACAGCTCACTACACACATACTATACTGGAGCTGCCACATTATAAATCTTCAGACAGAGGAGGAGAGGGTAAATCTGACAGGTTAAACATGGCCGACTGAGATGGAGTGAGGGTGTCTGTGTCTTATTATTTGCTGCATTGGATTCATGCAGAGGTGTATCATATTCTTGAAATATCCCCAGCAAGCAAGTGGAAGTTCTCTAGGCAGAGCAGTTCTGCTCGACTCAACCAGAACAGACGTGTGACACTGAGTTCTATGAGGAGCGACTGTTTCAAACTGTTTTAGTTTCCTTAGTCACTCACTGGAAAGAATTTGTGTGTCTACCTGCCTCGCCTGCTGTAATGATGTGAAATTATTATTCAAACTGACTGAAAAATGCATCACTGAGTCAGTCCGCATCGGGGCTCTGGCCTCATGCCAGAGACGCTCAACCTTTACGAACCCTGTGCTCTTGGCTACGCCTGCTTTACACTGTGTCACCTGCTCCACAGAGAATGGAAGGGGAGAGATGGGGAAAATGACACATCAGGGAAACAAAAGGGAAAGAAGTTGGCTAAAAGGTCAGGGGCAGAGAGGTGGTGCAGGTAGAGTTGAAGGGAAAGGTTCAGAACAAAAAGAGAACATTTCTGCTCAGCCTGGCTGTTAGTTTAATAGTTTAATCTGATGCTGGACTTCAACACTTAGGCTGTGCTTGTCTAAGGTTTTTATGGCAGGCCATCTAAAATCTTATTTTACTGCAGAGCGGACAATAAAATCACTTAAAAAGCAGTTTCTTTGCAAACTGTATCCAGCCCACAATGGAAGGAGGTTTGAAATGTGGTTCCAGATGAATTACAATGAATGTGTCTCAATCACAGTATTTAAAGTTGGAGTCCTGTGAACCATTACACACAATGACCACCACAAAATTAGAGTGAAGCAGGAGTATTGTGATAACTACTAGCTGCTACCAGCAGTACAATTGGTACACCAGCTTCCTAAGACCTACACCTGAATGAAGATGTTGCTTTTCATGGGAAGATGGTTTCTCTTCATGGTCCCATGGTAGCAATTCTCTGTCAGAAACATAACAGACAGCAAACTCTGGAATACAACAGTGGGCAGGCTACATTTTTTACCAGATACTTTACTGAAGCAGGTTTATCATGGTAAATCAACCAACCTGATGGAGTTTAGTCAGGGTCATTCCTATGCTCCCACAGACCTTTTTTTTTAAGCATTTTCTGTTAGACACTTTACTTTGCACACCACACATATTACTCGGTGATATAACAAAATGTAGATCGTTCTGGATACTTCGGGGTATAAGTTACACTGTGGATATAATAGATTATATTTTGGATTTTATTGTCCTTTGTAAGGATAATTGTTTCCACTTCCGCACGTTAACCATTTTGTACACACAACATCACACCCATAGACATCTTTCCACACGTATTTACACAGAGGTGTAGTCGCAGCAGAACATGCATTGTGTGATAAATGTCAAATGTGGGAATATAGGACAGTGGGAACATAAGGCTGTGTGAACATAGGCATGATCCCTTAAATTACATCAAAAGATTCCACCTAATACCAATGACATTAAAGGTGGGGTAGGCAGGATTCTTTCAGAGAAGCATCTTTTTTGTGGTGTATATGCAAACAAGTTTTTGATATCAGTTAATAGCTATTGGTTATTGATTATTTTTGGTAATATAATGATATCGCTGTGTTTTGTTATGTCTGTGTAGTCAGCGTCTTAAAATTTTTGAGCAGCCCACTCTCTCTGAATGTAAACAAGGCCGTTCTCCGCCTCCCCCGACCTGATTGGTTGAGAGGCAGATGCTGCTCCTTAGTGCGGACTGGTTGTGAGGCAGATGCTGCTCCCTCATGTTGTGAGGCAAGCTCAACATCCTCCAATAACATTCACGAGCCCAAACAAAGTTAGCATGCTACAACATGGGACAGTAGAAACCAACCAGAAAGTACAGAAAACACAAGCAATGAAACAAAGTAAGTACTGGAGACTCTGGTTGGTTAACTGGAGCTAGATCAAACAACAGCTAAGAAGCTGGGTCAACATCAGCATAAACAATGGGGGACGCTACCGGATCTTACGGACCCTGAAACCTTTCTGCTGGACAGGTAAACCACTTTATAGAAGTAAACCAAGTGTCTTTAACAGAAGTGTTTCTTGTCAAATGGGACTTGCTGTGTGTCACATTACTCTGCTTCATGTCTGACCTCAAAAAACCAAAATACCTCCAACCGACGTTTTCGTGTCAGTGTTGTTGATGATGTCATCATCCATTGAGCCTTCATCTGCATTTCTGCTGGGGGTAGCACTCATTTTCTTTTTTCTCACCAACAGTGCTTTTGTCTTCACATTTGAGAATGCTACGGTTGAGTGTAGCTGCAGCCTGCTACGACGCAGTTGTGTGCTACTTGGTTCTAATTCAGCACATGATTGGTTCAGCGCAAAGCGGACCAAGAGCAACTCCCCCTCTTTATTGGCTATTGGTATACTCTACCAAAACATTGACCATGTTTTATATTGACATTTTATCGCCCAGCCCTTTGTATAGCTTATATGGCCCTATGGCCAGCTTATTATTCTAGCAGGGTATTTCATCACTGGCAGGGCATAGCTGTTAATTGCCCGAACTTTGTTTCTGCAATTAAGCTGACTCTTTAGGACCAGCCTTACTGGCTTCAGGTACTTGGCCGTTGCTGCTTTCCTTGTGGCCTCTTCATGGTTGCCTGTTGTATGCCAAGGTATTCGTAGCTCTCTTCCACATCCGCAATTCTGCCCTCTGGGAGTGCAGTACCCTTTGTATGGACTACTTCCCTCTTTTCGTCACCATTTGGCCACACTTCTCCAATCCGAACAACATTCCAATGTTGCTGCTGCTGTGGATCCTAGTGGTGTGGATCATTTAGCCGATGTCTCACTCACTCTTAGCGTACAGCTTGATGTCGTCCCTGTAGAGGAGGTGGCTGTTGGTGATTCCATTTCAGAGTTGGTATCCATAGCCAGTCTTGCTGATTATTTGGCTGAAGGGATTCAAGCCTATGCAGAACAGCAGTGGGAACAGAGCATCTCCTTGATATATGCCACATTTGGTGGAGACTTGTGCTATTGGCTCAAACTTGGCCTAAAGGGTGGTGTTTCATTGTCTCATTGAGTTTGCAACGAAGGCTCTTGGAGTCTTGTTGATCTTGTACAGCTTCAGGCATTCCAGGATCCAGGTGTGTGGCACTGAGTCATAGGCTTTCTTGTAGTCAATCCAGGCAGTGCACAGATTGGTCTGTCTGGTTCTGCAGTCTCGAGTCACTGTTCTGTCTACGAGTAGCTGGTGTTTTACTCCTTTGGGGTTCTTACCAATGCCTTTCTGTGCCTCTGTCATGTATTGATCCCTGTGCCCACTTATCTTCACCGCAATGATGCTTGACAGGAGTTTCCATGTTGTGGAGAGGCAGGTGTTTGGCTGATAGTTGGATGGGACTGTTCCCTTCTGGGGATCTTTCTGAATGAGGACTGTTCTGCCTTTGGTCAGCCATTATGGATGGGTATGTGTGTGTGAGGGGATATGTCTGTCCAGTGCTTACTTTGTCCTTGGAGAGGTTCTGGAACACCTAGGGTGTGCTGTTCCAGCAGGGTTAGGGGGAAAGTAAATGTCCTTGGTCGGGAATGATCATGGGCACACATGTCGTTTGAGTTTAACACACACACACACACACACACACACACACACTCACACACACACACACACATTATTAATATTTAATACTAAATCTGCATTGTTGAGGCTCTACAGTTGTTAGAGTTAATGGTATTGATAATCATTAGAAGAAGAAGAGGAGGGGGAGGATATAAATTACAAGATTTTATGAGCGCTTTGTAATTGATTAGGAGGATCTTGAAGCCAGTGAAGGTTTTGCATGGTGCATCCTGCAACACCTTCACTGCCTCCCAATCCACGTCGCTTATCTTCAAAACTTGTGACTTTTTATTTTTTTTACAATCTAGCTGCATCTAGTTGCAAAACACAAACAGGACACTGATTTAAATGTCACTGTAAATGAAACCTTTTAATATTGCAATGTGCCGTGACCAAGGCACATTGCGATCAATTCTAGACTCAGTTGCTCCTCTTCGACAGAAAACTCTTACACGCGAGAGGCTAGCCCCGTGGTATAATGCTGAAACCCGTGAGCTGAAACAGTTATTAAGAAGATGTGAAAGGATTTGGCTGTCTTCCAAAACAGCTGAAGCTTGTTTTCTCTGGCAGGAATGTCTTGATAAATATAAGAAGGCCCTACGACGTGCTCGGACAACTTACTACTCGTCTCTTATTGAGGAAAATAAGAATAACCCCAGATATCTCTTCAGCACTGTAGCCAGGCTGATGGACTGTCAGAGCACCGCTGAACCATGTATCCCATTAGCCCTCAGCAGCGATGACTTCTTGAGCTTCTTCAATGATAAAATCCTAAAAATAAGAGGTAAAATTAGTAACCTTTTGCCTTCATCAGGTGTCTCTCTCTTAGATAACCCTAAAAATGTTGAGGAGCCCCTAAGGCCTCTGGTGCACCTTAGTAACTTTGCACCTATTGACCTTCCTGAGTTAAAGTCAGTGGTGCTGGCAGCTAAACCATCTACGTGTCTTTTGGACCCAATTCCATCTAAATTGCTGAAGGAAACTCTTCCTTTGATCAGTACGTCCCTGCTTAAGTTGATTAACACGTCTTTATCAACAGGATATGTTCCCCAGTCTTTCAAGACTGCATTAATTAAGCCTCTCCTTAAAAAACCTACTCTTGACTCAAGCACCCTAGCCAACTATAGACCAATATCCAACCTTCCTTTTATTTCTAAAGTCTTGGAGAAAGTTGTTGCGAATCAACTTTGTGATTTTCTTCATAACAACGGTTTATTGGAGGATTTCCAGTCTGGATTTAGAACCCATCACAGCACAGAGACTGCTCTGCTGAAGGTGACAAGTGACCTACTCATGGCCTCGGACAGTGGTCTTCTCTCTGTTCTCGTCCTGTTGGATCTTAGTGCTGCATTTGACACGATCGACCTCTGCATCCTGCTTCAGAGACTGGAACAATCTATCGGCATAGCAGGATCAGCTCTCTCCTGGTTTAAATCGTATCTAACGGATTGATCCCAGTTTGTCCATGTTAATAATGAATCCTCTGCACACACCAAGGTCTGCTATGGAGTGCCGCAAGGGTCAGTGCTTGGACCGATCCTCTTTACCCTGTACATGCTTCCGCTGGGTAAAATTATGAGGAAGTACTCGATTAATTTCCACTGTTATGCAGATGACACCCAGCTATACTTATCCATGAAGCCGGAGGAAGCAGGCCAGGTTGCCAGGTTGGAAGCCTGTCTCAAGGATATAAAATCCTGGATGACCAACAACTTTCTGATGCTCAACTCAGACAAAACTGAAGTTCTTGTCCTCGGTCCTAAACACCTTAGAGAGGCATTCTCTAGTAATTTAGCTACATTTGATGGCATCAGCCTGGCATCCAGCCCCACTGTGCGAAATCTGGGAGTTTTATTTGATCAGGATTTGTCTTTTAGCTCCCACATTCAACAAATTTCCAGGACAGCCTTTTTCCACCTGCGCAATATCTCAAAAATTAGATGCATACTGTCTCAGAGTGATGCAGAAAAACTGGTCCATGCCTTTGTTACCTCTAGGCTGGACTACTGTAATTCTCTCTTATCAGGCTGCTCCAGTAAGTCATTAAGGACTCTTCAGCTGGTCCAAAATGCAGCAGCTCAGGTACTGACTAGAACCAGAAGAAGGGAGCACATCTCTCCTGTCTTAGCCTCTCTTCCCTGGCTCCCTATTAAATCTAGAATTGAGTTTAAAATCCTCCTTGTGACATATAAAGCGCTAAACGGCCAGGCTCCATCATATCTCGACGAGCTTGTTATACCGTACTTTCCGTCTAGACCGTTACGCTCACAGTCTGCAGGCCTGCTCGTTGTACCAAATGTCTCTAAAAGTAGTATTGGAGGAAGAGCTTTCAGCTACCAGGCACCTCTCCTCTGGAATCATTTACCGCTCGAGGTTCGGGGGGCAGACATCCTCTCAACTTTCAAGAGTAGACTTAAAACGTTCCTCTTTGATAAAGCTTATAGTCGGGGCTGATTTGAACCAGCTCTTAGTTATGCTGCTATAGGTCTAGACTGCCGGGGCTATCTGGCATACTGAGCTAGAGTCTGTCTCTATCTCTTCTTTAGATCTTTATGTCCCATATAAGTCACTAACCAGATTTCTCTCTCTCTGAGTGTCTCTGAGTCTCTTAGCTGCCACTGGACTAATGCTGCAGACGGTCTGCTGCGGAACTCCCTGACCCCAGCTGCATTATCCCTGATTGTCCACCCTGGGCCCTGAGCTCCTCCATCTCTTTGGCTCCTCTGGACCGTTGCTGCAGACACCCCCTGCCCCTTGGTTGCTCCGAACTGATGGCTGCTGCAGACCTGCCTGACTTTAGCCGCATCGTCTACGATTGTCCGCCTCAGGCCCTGAGCTCCTTCTTCTCTTGGATTCCTCTGGACTGTTACTGCAGACATGAACATCAGCCTCACTGACATAAATAACATAGAACTAGAGTTGACTACTGTCTATGATTGTCCACCTCAGGCCCTGAGCTCCTTCTTCTCTTGGATTCCTCTGGACTGTTACTGCAGACATGAACATCAGCCTCACTGATACTGACATTAATAACATAAACTAGAGCTGACTACGATTAGGCCTGCAAACTGTAATCACACTCAATTAATTTAACATTGTCCATAATCACTCATATCCTAACCCTGTAAACTGAACTCTTTTTTTGTTTAACCATTACATGAGCTGTTTTTGTTGTTGCTGTTGTTTCTGCTGCCCCCGTCTCTCTCTCTCACCCTCATTCTCTACTCTCTCTCCCTCCCCCTCCCTACTCATTCTCTCTCTCCTTCCCCTTATCTTGTCCTCTCTCTCTCCCCCTGCCCTCTCCCCTCTTCTCTCTCTCTCTCTCTCTCTCCCTCCCTCCCTCTCTGCCTCCATCTCTCTACATTCCTCCCCAACCCAGCAGCGGCATGGTGGCTGTCTGGCATGAGTCGGGTCCTGCCCAAGGTTTCTGCCTGTTAAAAGGAAGTTTTTCCTTGCCACTGCTACTCATGTTAATTGAGATGGGCCAAAACCCATCTTAGGTTGGTTCTTGATCATCAAACAATGAGCGTGGTCTAGACCTGCTCTTGTTCTTTGAAAAGCGTCTTGAGATGACGACTGTTGTGAATTGGCGCTATATAAATAAAATTTGATTGATTGATTGAAGGAAGAACAAATGCCAGACTAGCTGAGATCGGTTGAGATGCATCACGCCAGCACCTTCTTAAGCCCTGTGTCTGTCTTCCCCTCATCGCCCCCACGGTCTTAAAAAGTAGGCTTCACTGTGTGAACCTGGCAACCCAGCGCAGAAATCTGAAAAATTCAAATTCAAGACACCAATAGTCAAAATAGGAGGCATGGTTGACCCCGAACCTGGCGGGAGCTTGCAGTTTATAGCATCTGCACCGAATTGGTGGTCTTGGTGGTTGTGGTTCATATGGTAAGTATACTGTATTGAATTGATTATTGATAGCTACATTTGGATGAAGTTTTTAAGACTATTCTTACAAAACACAGAGTGACAGGGACCTGCTGCCCATTGGGAAAGAGTGCAGCCAGCGGGGCAGAGCTCTGTGCTGGGGCGCACAGACGACCACCTCCCTCCAGCTCTGGAGCTTTGATCAGCACTATCGGCTGCCCAGCAACAGTAAGTTTTAATTACAGGCCGACGACAACTGGTGCTGCCGCTATTAGTCATGCTGAGCCAGGCTCCGGAGCTGATAGGAGGCTGCTCGGCTGGCACCAGCCCTCGACGCAGCACCAGCATCGATAACAGCAACAACAAATTCTGTGCTTCTGCATTGTGTTTCCCTGAATCATATGGGGCTTTCAGTGGCAGGCCTGCTAGGGGGAGAGGGGTCAAGCAGGCTCTGAATTCTTGGTTTCAAAGTCTGTAGCTGAGCTGCGGTTACAAATGTGGAAGGGATGGGGACAAGGTAGGATGTCTCAAGATGACGAGGAGCAGGGGAGTTGAGGGGATTGGCTGTAGGGTACAAGCCAAAGTGAGCCATCCGTGACAAAGGGATAGTACTGGTCAATTTCTCTGCAGTCCTGCAGCTGCTAGACAGAATGGATTTTTTTTTAGTTCTTTTTGCTCTTCATGTTGTGTGGATCGGACTATATGACCATAAAAGCCATATAAATGTATTTAATAATAATTACAAATGGTAGATCATAGCTTTAAGACAGATGCATGCGCTAGCCTTTTTGCTAAACTAGCATACGTGTTTCTGAATTTCTGCTTTTCTAAACCATTTTTCTCTGTCTCACTTTATTTTTAGAGGCTTGCCAAAGGAACCACCTCAAGACACTGCTAAAGCTGATAGATACCTGCATCTCAGATATGATGAGATATGCCCCTCACAGAGGGACGCAGGTCAGTGTTTTGATTTGTTAAAAAACATGTTCATTGCCGTACAATTTGTGATAAAATGTGAGCATATTTGCAAATTTTGATGCACATTGAGACTTTTTTCTGTCATTAGGTATAGTTCTTTAAGTAGTAGTAACATTGCATGAATTCTAGAAATTAGAATTTAATACGCCAAGTGATACACTGCAGACAAGGATGTGTTCAATGGTGCATTGTAGTTTATTATGTAGTTCGGAGTGAAGTTGCGTGGGTTTACTCACTTAACTTAGCATTTGCATAGCGCTCATCAATTTTATAGCGCTCATCATTTGTATAGTACTCTTCTTATCACTAATGCACGGTGAAAGTAGTTGTGGGACTACACTGCTCTGGTTTGTAACATTATGTCAAGATAAAATTTTAATGTTTGATTTATTTACCCGCCTAGCAAAAAGGTTGCAACCTCCGCGTCCATTTTCAGGTTCTTAACCCTCATGAGTTTTCTCTACCTGGGGAAAGATACCCCGATGTCATCTCTTGTTTTATCTCGGTCAGATTTCCTTTTTCTTTTCTTTGGTGGTTTTCTTTTAATCTCATAGGTCAAATCCTATCCATGGTCCTTGATTTCAAGGGAAAGGGAAAGTATATCAAACGCAGGGAGCTTTTACCAGCATAGTTGGTGGCGTGGCTGCCTCTTCTCCCCACCACCGACAACACATCATTATCACTAGATTAACTTATCTGCTTTATTTGGATATTATTGGTTATTTGCAATAATTACTGAATCAGTAATGAATCATAAACAGTTTTTAAATACTCTTTTTTTTTATTATGCAGGTGAATGAGGCAAGTGGACCCAGACCAGACGGTGATCCTGCAGTGTCGGAGGGGAGCTGCGCAATCCTGTCATACGAATCTGACACATATATGGCACGAGTGGAAGTGGAGAAAAGAGGATCAGGACTCCTCCAAACTTTCACATCCAGAGAATTTGCTGTTTGGCCACTGCTCAGTCACACCAGCGACGCGTCCTCCTTAAGGTGCTGCTTAGATATTTGTTTATGAAAACCGATGCAGGCTGCTAACAGAGCATCAACCCGCTTGGCCTGTTATTAAAAATCTTTCTCTCTCCCTCTCTATTTTTTTTTTTTTAAAGTGTTTAAATAAATGAGTGTTGTGAAACATTTACATGGGTTCGTGGTCCAATTCTATTTTGAAGTAATTAATCAGTGATCCTCATGACCAGTGTTCACTCAGTAAACTTTAATCTTGAAATTGAAAGGTGATGTCATTTCAATGTTTAAATACCATAAGATAACATTTATAGATTTTTTTTTCAACGCATGTTATCCACTTCTTAAACTGTATCATTCTAACACTGCCAGCTGTGAACATTTTGAAGAACATTTGGGTATAATGTTGTAGCAATGTTTTCATTTATGAGATTGTAACAAAGTCATCACAAAATATTCTTAGACTGTTTTACATTCTCCCAGAACATTCTGGGAACTTAAAGGAAACTTCCACCAAAAAAAATATAATTATAACATCAGGGTATAATGTAGCAATATTTTAATTTGTTACATTGTAAGAACATTATCACAAACCGTTGTAAGGATGTTTATAGAGAACATTCTCCTAGAACATTCTGGGAACTTAAAGAAAACTTCAAACAAAACATCATTAAAACATTACAGTGTAGTATTCTAGTACTAATGTCATTCAACATTTTAAGAAGGCCATCACAAAATGTTGTTAGAATGTCATCAGAAAATGTTCTTCAAGAACATTCTGGGAACCCAAAGAAAACTCCCCCATAAAGACATCATAAAAACATGAGGATATGATATTAGAGCAATATTTTCATTCAACATTTTAATAATATTACAAAACATTTCCAGAATGTCTTTAGAGAACATTCTTCTATAACGTTCTTGGAACTTTAAGAAAACTTCCCACTAAAAACATCATTAAAATATTAGTATATAATGTTATAGCTATATGTTCATTTAACATTTTAAGAAGGTTATCTTAGAAAGTTTTTAGAATGTTTTAAAAGAACGTTCCTTGATATTGTTGTTGGAACTTTAAGAAACCTTGCCTCTTGAAACATCCCTTAAACATTAGGATATTATGTTATAACAATATTTTCATTTAACATTTTAAGAGTGTGATCGATAAACATGTTTAGGATGTTATTAGAGAATGTTCTTTGATAACATTCTTGGAACTTAATAAAAACTTCCCACAAAAACATTGTAAGAACATCACAGGTAACATTGTCAGAATGTTTTTAGAGCAAAAGTTTTCTAGCTGGGACAACGCCATCTGTAAGTTATCTCATGTGCTCTGCTCTGTGTGTGTGTGTGTGAGAGAGAGAGAGAGAGAGAGAGAGAGACTGTGTGTGTGTGTGTGTGTGTGTGTGTGTGTGTGTGTGTGTGTGTGTGTGTCTTGTGTGTGTGTGTGTGTGTGTGTGTGTGTGTGTGTGTGTGTGTGTGTCTGTCTGTGTGTCTGTCTGTCTGTCTGTCTGTCTGTGTGTGTCTGTTTGTTCATCTTTTCGTTTTACTGTGATTAATAGCAATCAGATTGCTGCTACTAGAATAATTAAAAGCATGCCATGTTGTTTTTTGTTTTAATCCAAGTACATATTTTGGCAAAATGTATAGGTTTGCCTTTGAAAGCCTAGGCTATATGTACATTGGCCCATTTATGTGTTTGTGGTAGTCAGTTTGTGTCCTTAAGTTTTAAGGTAAAACAATTCCTAACTGTTTTTCTTTCCTCTATATTTCTCATACAGAGAATGGTGTGAAGCATGAGCAAAGGATCAACCACGCCATTGCAAGCTGTAAAAAGATTGTCAGTAGCTTTTCTTACTGCTGGAAAAGAAGAAGAGAGCTGGATTCACTGCAGACTGAAATCGACCTGCCCAGACATCAGCTTATCACCGAATCTCCAACCAGGTGGGGATCCCGCCAAGCCGTCTGTGTCCATCTGTCTGTGCCTGTTTGTCCATCTCTGTCTTTTACTGTGATTGATAACAATCAGATTGCTGCTACTAGATTAATTAAAAGCATGCCATGTTATTTTGTTTGTCTCCAACCTGAGGCCTGTACTACGAAGCTGGATTTGGTCTTAGCGAGATAACTTCTGGGTTTTCCGTACTACGAAGGTGGATCTCTTTTTATCCGGGTCTGTTGCCCCGGTAACTTGCGCCGAACGCCAAACCTGCTCCGGAGCAGGTTATGTTTGAGGATAAGAGCTCAGCATAAAAGACCACCCACTGACCAATCGGTTCTCTTGGAAAATGGCCTGCCCACTTTTGCCAGATCCTGTGGACATCGGTGCTCGGATTGTTAGAGGAGCGCTTCGCCATGAGCACTATTTTCGTGATTGCTTGAATCCATTTGATTTACTAGATGACGTTCTGTACGAGCGTTACAGGTTTTCTTTTGAGGGGCTGCGGTATATTTGTGAGTTGTTGGAGCCTTACGTGGCGAAGAGGATCAGGACTCCTCAGAACTTTCACATCCAGAGAATTTGCTGTTTGGCCGCTACTCAGTCACACCAGCGACGCGTCCTCCAGTCGGACGCTCACAGTCCCGCAGACGGTCTGCGTCACGCTGAGGTTCTTTGCCATTGGTGTGTATTCATATGGATTTACTTGTCCAATTACAACTAACAAAGCACGGCTCGCAAGAAGGACTACAGGCGAATTTGTATGAGTCTCCTTTATTCCCCCACTTATTCATTTCCTCCAAACACACAGGTACTTTCATGTATGCTGTGGGAGATGCAGAGAATCTCAGCAAAAACACCTGCTGCAAAGCAATCCACAAAGTGGCGAGGGCACTGATGGATCTGCTTGACATGTTTGTTGTTTTCCCTGGACATCTGCCTCTGCATGCCATCAAAGAGGGGTTTTATGCACTGGCAGGTAGGTCCATAAATGGCAAGTCCACATATTATACTTTTCCATGTATGTATTTGGATATTCAAACCTTGTTCTCTTTTCTCAGGCTTCCCCAGAGTGATGGGGGCCATAGACTGCACTCACATTCCCATTACAGTCAGTCTGGGGCCAAGTGAGGCAGACTATGTGAACAGGAAAAACTTCCACAGCCTCAATATTCAGGTAGCTTGAAGTCTAAGCAATGCACAAATATTTGTAATATACTAATATAAGTTCCAGTTTCATGTGGTATATCAGTCATTTATAATGTATTTAAGCAGATTGAAACTCCTGTTAACACCAAATGTGTCTGCAGATGACATGTGACCATCATTTGATGGCCTTGAGGCAAAGTGCCCAGGTTCCGTGCACGACTCCCGCATCTTCAGAGTCAAAGCTGTGCAGGAAACTTAAGCAGGGTAAAACAACTGTATACTGAATCTGTTCTTTGATGTTCAACCACATTTTCAGCTCCTCAAGGCTCTTCCTCTTGATCTGCAGGGCTCTTCAGTGGAGTGCTGCTGGGAGACAGAGGGTACGCCTGCCAGCCCTACCTGCTGACCCCCTATCCTGACCCTGGTGCCGGGCAGCAAACTTTGTTTAATGTGGCCCTGGCTAAAACCAGGGTCAGGATAGAGATGACCTTTGGGGTCATCAAGGCCCGCTTCACCTGTCTCCTTAGGCTCAGGATGATTCCAGAGAGGGCCTGCAGGGTGATTGCCCAACATAGTAGCCATACGAGCTCACAGCTGATATCTTCTGTGTGAGGAGAGTTTTGTCATAGTGGTGCTGAGTGAACTGCTGTATTGTTGCATCTGTTGCACTGGTATTTAATTTGCAGGGCAGATGTAACCTAATTCCCTTGGAGGATGATCACATGTGAAATTGTCATTGCTTCTCTTTATACAATAAATTGCATTAACTGTTTGTCATACTCCAGTTTTTCCACCTCCAGTGTCAATTTTTTGAGTTGGAGTTTGAATACTTTCTTTTGGAGTACTTTGCACTCTATGTCCTCTTCCAGCTGCCGTTTGTACAGCGCCCTCACTGTGTCGGCCCCCGGGCTGAAATCAAACACATGCAGTTGCTTCAATGTCCAAGCATTTCCCTCTTTACATTGTGTGCTTGAAAACGTGCCTATAAAACTTGGGTTCATGTAAAAATGGATTACATTTTGTGATTCCCTCATCCTGGCTGGTCTAGAGGTGGAGGCCACTGGCTCAGGGGCAGCTGGGTTTGCCTCTTCCTGTGAAATAAGAACAATTAAAAGTGAGTAACAGGATAAGAGAGCATGTGAGCACACTTATCATTCCCAGCAGCAGACCCCATCACCTGTGGAATTTGCCATTGATAAATAACTGCCACAATCTCCCCACCACTGTGAGAACCACTTTAGAAAAGAACAATGACGAAGTTGTACCGGCCACGGTCTCTCTGAGCAGGCTGAGAGAGTCTCGTCATCAATGACCTCTGCCTACATTAATGATTACAAAGGTTTTGTTGGGTGAAGGAATCATCAGCAGCCACATGTGAATTATGTGAATGACTGGTTGAATTTGCCGTTACCTCTGTATGGGGCAATGTTTGGTTGGGTGGAGGTAGCAGCGTGACAGCCAGTGTGTCACTGTCCACTGGGGAGAAACTTTAGAACATTAGCAGTCACCTTTTCACAAACAACTCTGTGCTTTTTGAGCAAGTTAGTGGTTTGCCTTTGCCTCACTGAAACGTACCCTGTACAAAGCAGGAGCTCTGTGATCTACTACCTCCACCAGGGTCAGATGTCACGCCACCCTCGATGCCCTCAGTGGCTGGGCAACCCCTGTTTAAGGAGAGGGCCAGCTCCTCGGCCGGAGTTAAGTCCTCTGGAGCTGGCCCTCCCCTGTTTTTTTTGGCCGCACATTTTTTCTTATGGGCTGCAAATAATATCACAGGACCTCGTTTATCATCATCCTACAGCTGAGACATTGTGAGGAAATCACTGTGTACATGATGAAATACTGTATGTACGAATACAATCTGCCAATAAACCTACTAACCACTCTGAAGGATGTTTTTATATCTATTTCGAATTTGCTTCCACGTTCTTTTTTCCCTACTGCTGCTGCATCTGAATTCATGAGGTCAATGATGATGATAGTGATCAAACACTGAATGACAACACATTTGGGGACCATAAATTAATGAATGCACAAATGTAGTGACATCTATCCATGCCATCGTGATGACACATTAATATCTTCATCGTAGTGACTTACGCATTAACACAATCCGCGATTTTTTGCCAGCACTCCCTCCGGCTTCTGGCGGCTGTGGCCGTGTTGCTCCTCGCTGTGATTGTATCATGGAACTCCTTGTATTTACGCAGGATAATATCTTGTTCCTCAGCTGTGAAATACGATGCTCTCGCCGTTTTGTCCATTGTGGAAAATGGTCCAGTGCCGCTAACCCCGCCCCTTTTACATGTGTGCACAGATCTGAAGCGGCCACACCTGGATTCAGTTATCGAGTTGATAACCAGTTTCGTAGTACAGCTGATCAGGATCGCGGAGATCTGGTGAAGTTGAGCGAGTTGTCGCAGAGTTATCCTGGATGTGTTAATCCAGCTTTGTAGTACAGGCCTCAGGTGGGCATCCCGCCGAGCCATGATTGAACATGTCCTGGAACATGAGAGCGCCATAACACGGGTCCTGGGGTCCAACAAAAAAAACAAGCACCTTGTCCCCTCCATGCAAACTATTGATGTTTTGGAGTCAGTGAACAAAGCCGTCAAACCACTGCAAGATTTCACTGACGCACTGTCTGGGGAAAGTTATGTGTCTCTTTCATAAAACCCATACTCAGCATGTTCAAAAGTAGTCTGCTCAAACCAGAACATGACGACACAAGCCTCACAAAAAAAATCAAAGGGAACATTTTGAATCACATGACAGAAAAGTACAGTGACCCTGTCAATGACGAACTCCTGGACATGGCCTCACTCATGGACCCCAGGTTCCGCACGGCTTACATTAACCCTGACGAGGTGGAGCACATTAAGGGGAGAGCCATCACGGAGCTGCTGTCCCCGGTGCCCACTGAGCCTGGCCGAGCTGTGCAGGTATGCCAGGAAGAAGAAGAGGGAGCTGCAGCAGACCCATCTGTAGCTCGGCCTGGTCCTGTGCCAAACAAGAAGAGGAGCTTGTCCAGCTTCTCCCAGAAAAAGGTGACCCCGTCCTTATCACAGGAACAAAGAATCAGAATGGAGCTGGCAACCTACTTGTTGATCCCTGAGGTAAGCGAGGATGCAGATCCACTTTGGTGGTGGAAGGAACATGCAGAAACCTTCCCAAGCCTCAGCAAGCTAGCTAGGCTCTTTAGTGTGGGCGGGGACATAGTTACATGCCATCAAGGTGGTGGCATCGCTCAACCCAGATTCCGTCGACAGGCTTGTGTTCCTCTCAAGAAACTTAAAAATGTGATTGTAGCACATCAGCATGTGCCTGCATGACAGGCTGGATGGATGGCTGGTTGACTGGCACTGCAGACTGACTTACTGAATGTTTGGTTTACAGACTGACTTAACTGTAGGGTATTTCTTTTGCAAAAAGTGAACAGTTTGCACTTTATTCATTCATTTTTGTTTGAAGATGAGCAGAAAGACCTGAAGTATGTTGGAAAGATGAGGTCCTCTTAATCTCAAGGGATTTTTCTGTGTTTATTTGCAGAGTTTTAAGAAGTTAAGTTTACTAGCATTAGGGATGTACTGTATATTTGTGTTTGTTTAGATAAAGTGATTGTCATTTTGTTGTTGGATATTGTTATTATTAAGTTTGCACTATTCATTGATTTTTGTTTAAGTAAGACCAGAGAGAATTGTGACTGTGCCTTTGTGAATTTCTACCTCACCTGACTGGCTGGCTGACTGACTGACTGACTGGCTGGCTGACTAACTGACTGACTGGCTGACTAACTGACTGACTGACTGGCTTGCTGACTGACAGACGGGTTGGTTTACAGACTGACTGACTGACTGACTGATTGACTAACTACCTCTCCTCATGTTCGATTTTGTTTGATTTGTCTCAAATGCAAGATATTTTTTCAAGATTTAGGGTATTTGTTGCGAGGTGGGTGCCCTTGGTCCGGCTGCAGCCGAAAAGCTTGGTGGGCCCGGTCCACTTCAGGTACCGGTTTGCTCTTTCCCGGAACAAGTTGAAATACATGGCCCAGCATCCCCATCAGATCATCTGCTTCACCTCCTTCTCTCAGGCCTATTATTCTGATTTTATTTCTCCTACTGCGTGATTCAAGGTCATCAACACGCTGGCACAGTGATGAAACTTTCTTAGATAGTTCTTTAACCAGAGTATTCTCCTTTTCAAAATCCTCCTCTAAACTGTTGATGCGCTGTTCCGCATTGGCGACTTTGTTTTTTACTGCCTTAAAGTCTTTGGAGAGGGTTTTGATTGAAAAGTTGGTCTCACCAAGTTTGGTATCTATTGAGGTTTGATGGCTTTCGAAAGCTTTTACCAATCTTTTGGCCCATGCTGGAGCGTCCTCATCAGCGTCTATGTCAGACAGGTGCGTCTCCACTGCGCTCATCTCTGTATTCTTTAATTCCTTCATTTTCTTTCTTTGTCCTGTTGCCAGACTGTTAGACATCCCCTTTGGTAGTGCAGTCCAATATATTCTTATCAAATACTTGCCTGTTTTGAACTGTTTTAGAATAAAGACTCTCTGTTCTGGTACGCTAATCTCACTAAAATGCCATCTTTACGTGTAGATGATCATGTGACCCCAAATGTTTGAGTTTACTTATTTTACAGACCACTCCCTTGCTCCTTGAGTTGAACTTGAGTACAGTGGTTAAATGTTGCTCTTACCGAGTTACATATATATGTATGTATATAAAACTTATATATGTATAAATATATATATATATATATATATATATATATATATACACACACATATACAGTAGTTATTAATTCAAATCTAAACTAACTACTAAATAGGGATGCAGGGTAATTATGTCAATGGGTAGGATGACTGTACCCAGATGGCGGCCGTATTGCATGCGCCCCAGCAGACAATGTATCATCTACTCTATATAATGTCTATGCAGATAACAGGTAATGGCTAGCAGCAGAGAAAGAGATAATGAAGACATTAAATTGCCTCTCGTAAGTAATTTGGATTCCAGAGAAAAGACAGATCAGAAGACAGGGCACATGCGATATGCAAACAAAGCTGTGGCAAGAGACAGTATGTAGGAATTTACATCACAGAAACTGTTTCTGTTTCAGGGTTAGGTAAACAGCACAGCAAATTAACTGGACCATGTAACTTTATACTGGTATAACACCAATGTTCCTTGTAATGTTAGTACTTAAACTGTTACCAGAGACTCTTAATGATGAATGCTGGATAAGTACTGTGCATTTATAAACTAAAAACTGAAGCGCCTTAAAGTGAAATAAAAGTATTTGTTCACTTCGTTGAAAAATGTTTTTCAAGTAAATGCCTTTTGGTAACAAAATTCTCAAAACAAATCAATGTTGTTTTTTGTTGTTTTTTTTCCTTTGTAAAGCGTAACAGATTGTAGTAAAATGTTTCACAATATTGTCTGATATAGATTGCAGGCCTCTAAATCAAATTGAATCAAAATCAAATCGTGGCAGACTTTGTGATCTTGGCAAATATCGATAGTTGTCATTGTGCAGGGTATATACTGTGACATTCTTTTGCACCGTCTAAGCAGAATTCAGAAAGATAATGTAAGACAGAGAGTTCAGTAATACACAAACAAACACAGTCTCATGCAAACACAGAGGTTCGAAGACAAACAAATTTAGAGCACATGTATATGCAGACATGGATTTAGCTGATAAGGGGAGGTAATGCTTTTACACTGTTCAAGAACCTTTCTTCGGGACAAATAAAGGCTAATCCTATTGTCCTGGTATTACAGTGTAATTACAAACAATGGGAATATTGCTCCTTGTGATGAGTAATGTTGTGAATATGAAAGAAGGGAATGGCGATATGTTAAGGAGGACTTTCAGTTACTGACGCCATCACCAAAGCAAACCATGAAGATGACTTGGTGATGTTTGGCTAAACACTTGTGATCTGTGTACTTGAAAATAATTGCAAACAGTCTGCCCAACAGATCTGATTTTAGCAACAAATTTAATTTTCCTGCAGTCTGAACAAAGCAAAAGTGACCTCTTTGTGACTACAATATTCTTATATGAGCAAAATAAATGAATCAGTTTCACAGTGGCCAGGCAGGACTCGCTTCCAGGAACCTCCCCTGTGGTAACCTCCTGCTCAGTTTCAGATAGTTGGTGACAGATGCCTCTTTTTCAAACTCATTGGCTGGCTGGCTGTTGTATCTGAAATACATTTATTTGTGGCAGCAGGGTCAGTTTTGTTCTCCAGGGTATTGAAAATGCATTTAAATAACTAAATCCATGTAAGACCTGAGCTGGAGATTGGCCAAAAGCCGGCCTTCCTGTGCACGTATACTCAAGAGAGAGGAAGAATGATGTTGTCATGCTACAGAGTCAATGAGAACCAGAATAAAGAGGAGGAGAAGAAGAAGGAGGAGGACGTGAGCAAAACATGAAGTCATGGCCCTCACAGTGAGATCCCAGTTCTCCACTCAAAGTTTGATTCCTGTGGGAGCAGAAGACAGCGACTCTCTGGCTCCATGGCTGACTACTGAACGGTGACTGTGATGTTCCACATGTGGCGGCAGACCTTGTCTTCCAGCCACTGCCGCCGCTGTCGTTTAGGGAGAGAGAGACACTCTTAATAAGGAAGTCATACAGGGACACAGTCACAGCCAAGAGAAGCAGCTGAGGAGGTGCTGACAACTGAAATGATAGTTTCCATCAGGCCCTGACTGTTGCAAGGTGAGATAGCATTTTATTGGCAGGGAGTAGGGTCAGAGTAAGATTTTCCATAGCTTTTATGTATTTGACCAACAGCACGGCTTTGACTGCAGACCAGTGGTTGATGGTAGTTTGTCCTGAGCTGTCCCAACTCAGAAGATGATGAAATACTTTATATAACAGTCTCTGTGCTGTCAGGCCACTAAGAAGTACAATATACTTACCTTTGCATTTCTATTGATGCCAATCTGCAGCACAGCATAAATTCTATGGAGTCCAGATTACAGACATTATGCTGTCAGGGAGTTAACTAGTGTAGAGCTGAAAAAAATACCTCAAATAACTCAACTAACTTGATCAAAAAAAGGCTGTGTTGCAATATATATTTTCCCCAAAGCTTGGTTTAAATCCAGACTTCCTAGAACACTGTGTTTTGTAAACTGTGTACAGATAATATAATTTGCAATACAATAAACATGACTATTATGTGAAGAGTAACTTCTCAGAAGACATTTTGACTATAATTATTAGGTATTTGAGTTATTGTTGCTTAGACTTTGCTTTCTTTAAAGTAACCTCCCCTGGCTTTAACAACAGCTTGGCATATACCAGGCATTTGTTCCACAAGTTTTTTAAGGTATATTCCAGGGATTGCATTCCAAGCTTTCTAAAGTTCATTTAAAAGAGACTGCTGATTTGTGGGATGCATTTTTCTGACCGATCGATTCAATTCATCCCGCACAAGCTCAATTGAGAAAGGTCTGGAGACTGAGGGGGCTAAACCATCTTTTGAAGAACACCTTCCTCTTCTTTTTTTCTAGGTAACCCTGACAGAGCTTGGCAGAGTGTTTAGGGTCATTATGAGCCACAAGTCTATGTCCAGATGGAACAGCATGGTGCTGGAGGATGGAGTGGTACTGTTCCTTCTTCATGATACCCTTTTCTTCAAACAAATCTCCTACTCCATCACCTGCAAAACATCCCCATACCATGGAACTACCACCTCCATGCTGAATTGTGGGTGTAACACATGGTGCTTTCAGACGTTCACCAGTTTGTCTGCGGACATAAACTCTGCGTTTTTAACCAAACAGTGCAAAGTTGTTTCTAGTCATCATAAGTCCAATTTTTGTGAGCTTTTGCCCACTCATATCTCTTTTTCTTGTTCTGTGGACGAAGTAGTGTTTTTTTTGCAAACACAACCCTTCAGACCAGCCTTTCTCAAACGTCATTTCATGGTTGTCAGAGATATGGGTTTTGACCTTGTCATGTTGATTTCCCACCTTATTTTTGGTGCTGTCTTTTGCTGATCTCTCTTACTAGTGACAATGCTATGTTTATCCTCTGCTTTTGTAGTAACTCTCTTTCGTCTTGGTCTTTTTCTACCATCATAACTTCCAGGTTCCTCTAGTCTCTTCAGAGTGTAGTGGACTCCTTTGTTAAACACCTTCAGGCGTTTTGCAATTTCTCTTTCTGTGTATGCTTCTTTCCTCAATGTACAAATCAGTACTTTTGTTTCTTTTCTCAGTTGCTTCTTTCTAGCCATTTTTGCGGTAGTTTGAACGCAGTTGAGATTTATTAGGATTTTTGTATGCAGACTCTCAAAAGCCAAAAAGTTGAGGTAAATAATCCAACTGATTAGTTTTTTTGCTTTTGCACTGAAGTTGTGACTCTTGCAAATGTTTTCAACCCTAAAACTAAGCCTGTATTATGTTTTGCTGACATATACTTAGCAATGGTCTGTTAACATCAATGTATATCTAAAGGTAAATGGAGTAAAATGGTGCATTTCCATGAAAACAACATCTGATCATGGAGTAAATACATCCCAAAATACATAAAACTCATGCTGGATTTAAAAAAGAAAAAGCATTGTGAACAAAAACTGGAAGTTACTCCCAACTGTTTGGCCTGTAATGGCCTTGCTTCCAAACTTTTGACCTGTAGTGTATATATATATATATATATATATATATATTTTTTTTTTTTCCTTAAGCCAGCACAAGCAGCAGGGTTGTACTGGTCTCTCATTGTGATAAACATTTGCTGTAAATTTCATCCTGATCAGCTCGAGGGATACCAAAGCCAATTAGTATTGTGGACATGCAGTGTGCTTTCACATGCCTAAATTACTCTCTAAATTACTCTGACCATTAATCCTCCTCCTGCCAGTCCAGGAGTCACCCTTTTAATGTCTCTCTGAGACAGAAGTTGAAGTTTGTTTAAGTTTTCCTCTTATTATCTAAAAAATCCGCTGAGAAATGTAGCTGTAATTGTGCAAAATTGACTGTTTCCTCTGTGCTGCGATATTGCACTGACATGGGTAGAGGTGGCCTGATTATCATTAACATTTACTCACTCTGTCTTTGCTATCTACAGTCACAACAACTGTCTGCATAATTCTACAATGAGTACTAAGTAAATATCACACACACGCACGCACACACACAGAAATTTGTAGTGTTCCAGCAAAAAAGGCAAAAATTCATACTTATCTACTGCAACAATATTCAATGAAATACTTAAATATTCAATAACTGCTGCCCCAAACTGGTACTAGCTAATCTAGGCATGTTTTGCTTCAGTCCTCTGTTTATTGTAACAGGTTGCAGATGGAGAAAATTAAGCCATCTGACCTTCAGTTAATTTGACTTAGAAATTGTTTAATCTTCAGAGTACGAAAGGTCCTTTTTTATGTCACACTACGCAGCTGGTCTGCAAGTGTCTATACACCATGGTTACCATAATTTCATGTTTGGTTTT